GCCACACCAGGACTCAAGAAGCTATCGCATTGTTGTTGTTGTTGAAATGCTGCCGAGTCAGTTTTGTCTCATAGTGACCCTGGGTAGGGTTTCCAAGGAGTGTCTCATGAGCGTGAACACCAACCTTGAGGTTCAAATGACTTTGCAGTCCAGTGCATTAACCTGCAGCACCACACCAGGATTCAGATTCTTGTTGTTAAGTATCATTGAGTAGGTCCTGACCCATATGACCCTGTAGTTTCCAAGGAGCGGCTGGTGACCTTGAACCAACAATCTTGTGATTCAAAGCAACTTTGCAGGCCAGCATACTAACCCATAGAGCCACACCAGGACTCCAAGACTCATATTGTTGTTGTTAAGTGCTGTCAAGTCAGTTCTGTAAGGGGTTCCCAAGGAGAAGCTGGTAAGCTTGAACCATCAACTTTGTGGATCCAACTGACTGTGCAGTTCTGCATATTAACCCACAGTGCCATACCAGGACTCATGTTAGGGTAAATTAACTAAATGACCAAATATAGCAGTCTAATTTTTAAGTTGATAATTTTGTATAGTCTGTGAATATTGTTAAAAATTTTGCAGACAAAAAGGCTTCCCCACCCTTGTTTTAAAAAATTGATTACCAGGCCTTTCTTCCTCATCCATCTGGCTGAAAGCTCTGCTGATACCCATTCAGTATCACAGCAACTCACAAGATTTCTGACAGACAGGAAGAGGCAGCACATGAGTTGCATTTGACGAGATTAGAACTCAGCTCTCCCATATGTAACTACCAGAAATTCAAACTAGATTCAGCAGAGACTGTAGAGTGAGGAATATGATTGCTGTTACCCCATGGACCTTGGCTAAAAGCAGACAATACCAGGCAGATGTGTGTGTTGACTATGCAAAGGCATCGTCTGTGTGGTCATAACTATGGATAACATTGCAAAGAATGGATATTTCAAGTATTTAATTGTGCTCACGTGGAACCTATACATAGACCAAGAGGCAGTCATTAGAACAGGACAAGAGTACGTAGAACGGTTTAAAATCAGGAGAGGTATAGGTCAGGAAGCATCCTTTCACAACATTTATGCTTTCTGTATTCTAAACAAATAATCTAAGAAGCTGGATTACATGAAGAAGAACCTGGCATCAGGGTTAGTTGTTGTTGTTCAGTGCCATTAAGTTGGTACTGACATATAGCAACCTTATGTCGAACAGAACAAAACACTGCCTAGTCCCGTGCCAACCTCACAATCATTGCTATGCTTGTGTCTGTTGCTGTTGCCACTATGCCAATTCATTTCCTTGAGGGTCTTCCATTTTCATTGACCCTCCATTTTACCAAGTATGATATCCT